CCATTGTCAAATAAGACGATGAGACTGCGAAGCTGTCATACGATCTCAAGCAGTATCAGCAAGCTCTCTTCATCAAAAGCACAGGTTCATCACCGATAATCACCTCATCAAGAACCAAGACGAGATCTCCGTGTATCATTTTCTATTTTGGAGCCTTATACCCATCAAATCAGTCAGAATGCAAGTCCACAGCGTCATGAGGTCTGCGAGACCAGTTGGATGTCTGAGATCAGGATTGCGCCCTACCACAGCCCCAGTTGCTCTTACACAAAGAAGGACGAAGGCAACTGCGCCATTCAGACTTCCCGACCCCAGAAACGAGCCCAACGTAAGTTGAAACCCGAAACTGATGAATTACAATCATGGATTGACTAATAATCATTTTGCAGCCCACATACACAAAGAACTCTCCCGAGCGCGCAAAGCTCGAGGAGGCCCTCAAGAAGCTGCGTACCCAGCTGCCCGCCAAGAGCGACCTTTTCTTCGGCGGCCAGACCCAGGCCGCGGCCAAGTCCTTCGACACCGTACTTCCTTCCGAGCACAAGACCAAATTCTCCAACTTCCCCCTCGCATCCAAGGAGCAGGTTTCGTCAGCAATTGAGTCGGCGTTGGAGGCAAAGGAGAGCTGGCAGAACACCCCCTTCGTCGACCGGGCTGCCATCTTCCAAAAGGCGGCAGAGCTCGCCGTGACCAAGTACCGCTATGAGCTCATCGCAGCGACCATGCTCGGCCAGGGCAAGAACATGTGGCAGGGAGAGATTGACGCGGCTGCTGAGTTGGCCGACTTTTTCAGACTCAACTGCAACTTCGCGGCAGAGATTCTCGAGAAGCAGCCCACTCGTGGCTCTGACGGCATGTGGAGGTATGTGGACTACGCGATGATCTTCAATGAACTTGATGCTGACGAAAACATTTAGTCGACTGGAATGGCGTCCTCTGGAGGGCTTCGTCTATGCCATCTCCCCCTTCAACTTCACTGCCATTGGCGGTAACCTTATCTCCGGCCCCGCGCTGATGGGCAACGTTGTCGTCTGGAAGCCTTCGCCCAGCAACATCTACGCCAGCCAGATCCTCTACAACATCCTCCTGGAGGCTGGTCTGCCCCCCAACGTCATTCAGTTCGTCCCTGGTGACGCCGAGGAAGTGACCGACGTTGTCCTTAACCACCGCGAATTCGCCGGCCTCAACTTTGTCGGGTCTTCCGACGTCTTCCGCTCTCTGTACGCCAGAATCGGCGAGGGCATTGGCAAAAAGACTTACCGCGAGTTCCCCCGTGTCGTCGGCGAGACCAGCGGAAAGAACTTCCACCTCATCCACCCGACCGCCGACATCGAGCACGCCGTCAACCACACCATCCGCGGCGCTTTCGAGTACCAGGGCCAGAAGTGCTCTGCCACCTCCCGCGTCTACCTCCCCGAGTCCAAGGCCGAGGAGTTCATCTCCAGCTTGAAGTCCAAGGTCGAGCAGATCACCATCGGAAGCCCCGACGGCAAGCTGGATGCCTTCATGGGTCCCGTCATCCACGAGCGCTCCTTCAACAAGATCAAGAACATCATCGACGAGAGCAACAAGGACTCTTCGCTTAAGCTGGTGGTCGGTGGCACCTACGACGGCTCCGACGGATACTACGTCAACCCCACTGTCTACGTGGCCGACTCTCCGGATCACCGTCTCTTCAACGAGGAGATCTTCGGCCCCGTCCTGGCCATCTCCACCTACCCCGATGCCGAGTGGTCCTCCACCCTGAAGAAGGTCGACCAGAGCGGCGGCGGCTTCGCCCTGACCGGCGCCGTTTTCGCCAACGACAGACGTGCCATCCGTGAGGCCGAAGATGCCCTCCGCTACTCTGCAGGCAACTTCTACATCAGTGAGTTTACCCATGCTTCCCCTCCCCACTACCAACGTCAATGTGTTACCATTTACTAACTACAAACCCTTTCTCAGACTGCAAGACCACCGCTGCCCTGATCGGCCAGCAGTCCTTCGGCGGTGCCCGCGCCAGTGGCACCAACGACAAGGCAGGAAGCGCAGACGTCATGCGTCGCTTCGTCAGCCCCAGATTGATCAAGGAGGAGTTCTTCCCTCAGACTGAGTTCCTGTACCCCAGCAACAAATAAGTGCAGTGTGTGGGATACCGAATGGGTCGCGGTCACGGTTGCATGCAAAATGGCGCATTGTGTAATTTAGGGATAGTCAAAAAATGAAGAAATTTTACATTCACCCCATATCTTCAACACCGAGAGTCGTGCCACAAATTGTGCAAAGTAGTCCGTAGCTAAGCTACCCTTGTCAACCACCACCCTTGCATCTTAGTATCGTCCCAGGCGTAGATGCTCAGCTTGATTTGACTAGGTACGGAGACTTGAAGCAATCATCGTCCCACTTGCTAGAGGAGGATCGTATGGGCAGCACTGAAATAAGAGGTGGCCTTGATTTACTCCATTTTCCTGTGATCTTGACGAGTGACGTAACATGCAGACAAAGTGTAGGGGGAATCATCACAGCGGTAGTTTGGTCTTGAAGAATTGGAGTCACATGATTGCAGGTCTGCAACAAACATATCACGCGTCAGTTCCACCAACGATAGGAAGACTACGTGTTCCTTGAAACCATGTGATATCGCTATCGCAAAATATATCCTCATCTTTTTCGTATTGATATCGTTGCCGAACATGACTACGCAACCATGAAAGCTGTGGCTGGGCGGTAAGATGACCGGCTGGGTGGCCGGCGTGTTGTCAAAGTTCCACTCGAGTCAGTCTGACCAATAGAGTGAGGGTAAACCACCGGGTCAGCTCCCGATGTCTCTTGGACAGATATCGGCTCACCATCCGCCTCGATAGGCCAGACATAGAGCCACGCCTCTTGTGCCGCAAACAAGTTCCAGTCCAGTCGAGTTGCCCGGCCGTGTACAGAGTAACACGGCATTGATTCCACCACGGCCACCACCCCGCTCGGCGCGGCTACGCTAACCAACTACCCCATGATGAAGATGGTGCCATGAGTATCTCCAGTATCTTGGATCCGAAGCCGGGGCAAGGGCCCGAAGCCAGCCGGTCCTGGGAAAGATCACGGAAGGTCATATACGACTGCTTGAAGATATCATACTTCAATGGCTAGTAGTGCTGCTCAAGGGCCCTGTACTCACACTGAATCAACAGTGCTTTCATTCGCACAAATCCGCGATTAATCTCCGCCTTAGCCTCCAACCACCACCATGGGTATCAGTAAATCCGACCCAATCGTCATTGTGGGCGCCGGTGCCTTTGGTCTGTCCACGGCTTACCACCTGTCTTTGGCTGGTTACACGGACATTTCCGTTTTCGATAAGCACGAGCAAATACCCCCCAGGGACTCTGCTGCCAACGATATCAACAAGATCTTCAGGGCTGAGTACGAGGACCCTTTTTACACAAATCTCACTATAGTAAGTTGAACCCAGTGAGCTGTCTTATCTACCTGACAAAATCCCTCTAACTCGCAACAGGAAGCCGCGAAAGCATGGCAAACGCCTCTTTTCGCACCCTCCTTTCACCGGGTAGGGTTTCTTCACTGCGTCTCGGCCAACGCCCCTGAGCGGGCCGCCGAGACTCTGCACAGGTTCCAGAAGGCCTCAGAAGACCACCCCCTTCTCGCAAAGTACGTGGTGCCCATCAAGGGTGGCCAGGACATCAACTACAATGTCTGGCAGTATGGCGAAGGCCCGTGTTCCGGCTGGAAGGGCTACCTCAACAAGTTTGACGGTTATGTCCACTCTGGCAATGCCCTGATCGCCCTCTACAACGCTACCCGGGTACGGGGCGTAAAGTTCTTCCTCGGACAGCACGGTGGCGTACAGGAGATTGTGTACCAGAACACCGGCGCCGGCCGGAAGGCAACCGGCATTAGGACGCAGACTGGCAGCCAGATCTCGGCGAAGCTTGTAATTGTTGCTACTGGCGCAGCAGCGGCAAGACTTGTGCCAGAGTGCGGCAAACAGGTCGTTGCCAAGTCTTGGTCTGTCGCTCACGTCGAGCTGACGGACGACGAGACGTCTGCGCTCCGCGGTATCCCCGTCACCTACGCGCGCGACCTCGGTTTCTACTTTGAGCCTGATCCGAAGACCAACCTGCTCAAGCTGTGTCCCATGGGCGGTGGATACGTCAACACGGATCCAAAGACGGGCATCTCACTGCCTCCGGCGTATGAGGAGAGTCAATTTATGCCGCCGCACGACCAAGCTAAGGTGCGGCAGCTGCTGGCGGAAACGCTTCCGGCACTCAAGGACCGCCCGCTTGTCAAGCAGACTATCTGCTGGTTCGCTGACACGGCTGATTCGGACTTTATCATCGATTACGTCCCCAAGTCGAGTGATTCCGTGGTGCTCATGTCTGGTGACTCTGGCCACGCCGCGAAGCTGATCCCGCTCGTGGGTGACTGGGTCAAGAAACTTCTGGAGGCTCCTGATAACAAGCAGCCGGTCCCGAGGTGGCGTTGGAAGGAACCTGAGGAGAAGGAGGCAGGGAAGTGGGGTGATACCGTCAGCTGGCGCCTCGGAAACACTGAGGAGTTTGCAAAGATTCGCCAGGCAAGGACGTCAAAGCTGTAGATAACTTTTCCACATAGCATTGTCTTATCATTCATGAATCATGTTTATCTAAGAGGGACCCCTTGACATTGATATCTGATTCTGTAAAGAGCTGAGAACACGGCGCTTACACCAGCCATGTCTGTTGGGAGAGAACAGACCGGCTTCTTCTCCGAGTTGTCGATTATAATTGAGAGGCCCCATCCTCGGAGTTTGATCCTACGATGCTAATAGAACGCTGTCGAACTAAGGTACATGTATATTTCCGCCATTAGAAGTTCGGACTGCCTACCGGTCATATCAGCTATGATACAGAGGTCCCTTGGACTTTTGGCCAAGTGTGAGCTTTGAAGCAGACGTAAGTACATGTACACTCGGCAGCATTCCGAAATGGGAGACAACGCCGCCTTGAATTTTGACAGGTCTTCTTGATCTACCAAATGCTATGTTCCACTATCGTTTGAGACATCCACTCCGAGTCTTCCTGTTCAATAGAGTTGGCCATATCCAGTAATTGCGCCATAGTCAGCCCGCTATCATAAGCCATCTCATCCATGTTCCCCGGGATAGAAGAAGAGTAGCTTTCGTGCTGTGAGTGGTCCGACGCTATGGCCGAGACCACCGTGTCTTGGGGACTCGTGTCACCCGGAGGCTGCGTTTGCCGCCCCTCGTCTACAAGAGTCGTCTGCTCAGATGCCTGTGAAGGCCAAGGCGTAAGCCGCTGTAGCATGTTCTCCAGCTGCTGGAGTTCAAATTTGCGGTATTTGGCGATCCCGTTCCCGGCCATGATCATCTCGTCCAGAACGGAGTAGACTTTCTCTAGAGACGGGTCGAGGCACTCGAAGCACTGTGGGTCGATTGCGGGTCCTAATAGTAGACTGCTGGCTGACACGAAACTAGCTTCCAGGTCGAATGGGAGAAAGGTTTCTGGAAAATTCAAAGTTAGCCTGGCTTATTTACAAGACCTGATTTTCAATCAATCTTTGGAGATGACTTACCCAGCAGCCCTTGAGATTGCAAACAGTCTAGGATCGAAACCATTTGTTGAGAGGAATCGATACACATCTGAATCAAATTTCTGACCGTCTGCGAAGACCCCAATAGCTCTGTACATTTACTCTGCGATTCAAAACGAATTTTCAGAAAACAGAAAAGTAGCGGTCTAGTTGCGAGAACAATGCACTGCAGCCACGTTAGTTCGTTTCCAATGCCATTTTGAATAGTACATCGAAGTAGACAAACCTGATGGTGTAGTAAATGTAAATGGGCGGATGTTCTCGAAATGCAGCTGGTGTCCCTTTCCAGAGGCAGCGCAAACGATTGTTGGAGCTCATCAGCAATCTCAGCCACGCTGGCAAGCACTTCTTTGGTGCCAAGCATGAACTTGTTGTTGAGTCTTCCGTCGAGACCATAGACCTCTGGTTGGTATGGGTGTTAGCATATCTCTTTCAAGCGGACTTCAACAGGACCTAACATACTCCTATTGATGCTCCCGATGACCTTCGACAGTCTGATACGCATTCGCAATGCGGCTGTTCTCTGCACTGAACCAGAGTAGGTTGGTAGTTGACATAGCACATAGTCATCATGTATCGAAGGCGGCATGCCAAACAACGATGTGATCTCCCGGTCAAGGATGTGTACAGTCCACCATAATCTTCGACATCTTTCAACATATGCCTCTCCTAGTTGTTGCACAGGCATGTCTGTGTGCATACCCTCTCCGAGGGCTATGCGAAGTGCTTGACCAATCTATTTTCCATCATCAGTATAACGTATCATATTAAGATTTAGAAGGGAAGCTTACATAGTTGTATGAACAGTGCCTGAAGTCGATGCATTGCGTATACAGAGCAATGCAACACATGATCTCTGTTGACAGAACATGATTCTTCAGTAAAACACTGAAGTCTGGGAGCAGTTGCATGGCCTTGACGAAGAAGTCATGGCCAGGGGGTCTGTTCCCCCTGTTGGTCTTGGTGGTGAAGGCTTTTCCGAAAGAAAGAATGAGCAAGAAATGAATGAACCACGGATCGGTAGGATCGGGTCTAGGATTAGGGTCAGAATAAAAGCTGTACAGGGACTTCATAAACGTTTCTTCGTCAAAGAGGTGGAACATTTGGCCGCAATGAAACTTGACGGCATTGACCAGGTAGATGGCATAGTCCTGTGTTGGAAGAGCTGGCATCTCGGGGGCTTCGCTGGCTCTGTAGCCATCCCAATCGAGGACGTACGTCGTGCCATCGAAGAGAAGAGCATTGGTCGGCAACGGGGTCTTGTGGACGTATTGGTGTGTGATATTGAGGACTCGTCGAGTGAAAGACCAGTTGGATGACGTCCCCAGGTAGACTATCCTCTTGTTAGGCTTCATTGCTATCAACGTAATGAGCTGCAGTATAGATGACTTACATAGCCTTCCATTTGGCGCTGATGTGTACTCTGACTGTCCGGTGGACAAAGGGTTGATGAGGTTCGACGCGACAGGATCTATTGGCGCTTTAGGCCGAGTCTCCTGACTTTCCTTTTCATGCGTACCATCTGCAATGATCGGGCCACTTGATTCATCCCTCATGGGCAAATCACCGTCGCTCTCATCTCCTACTGTCAGCTCAGACATGTTCTCTGCAATGCAAATTAAGATAATTAGGGATAACCAACTGTTTCCTGCTTTATCGGGACGCTGGCCGCCCTCGATTGACACTTGGGCTGGCTCATTGGTGCTTCGGCTCCGCTCCCACCGTTCAATTCTCTGTTGAAGGTCGATGATGTAGCTAGAACACGGATGGTGAGCCGGACTTATGCCTAGATCTAATCGTTGGGTGAAAAGGCCAGGCCCGATTACTTACCCTCTGGTGACGACGATTCTTTGATCCCTTTCGTCAAAGGTGCAGGACTGTTTGCGCTTGCCACATGCATCGCACGGCTGAGATCCTGAGCACTTGATTTTCTGTCGACGACAACGCACACAGCTAGATATCGAAGTGTGTAAGTCATACGCGATCGCGGCCAATTGACAAGGGAGGGAGATTGTGGTGTGTGTGGTTGGCTCGGGCAAACTTACGCATTCGACGACCGCTTGGATACCTTGTTTCGGCCGGCTCCAGGTTCCATTTCACTGTTTAGGAAGGCTTATACTCGAGCTGCCAGGTAGAGAATAGAGCAATTAGACAGGCATAAAAGGGTTGTCAGTGTTCTTTGGCTGCGGAAATCGCGTGCTCTGCTGTATGGTCCCGGCGAGCCTCGACTGTGATGTGACGTTTTTTTGCCAAAGGAGAACGCGGGGTAGTGGTCCTGGTGGAACCGAATTGATGGGGCTCTGGGCTCTCGGGCCAGGGGGGCACGGCTTATCTGCATCTATCTTAGTCTCGGAAAAATGTCACGAGATGGCACCGGCGATAAGTAGGCGTTCGGTTTCTGTACGGATACTAAGTAGTAGCTAAGATATCCAAGAGTTGTAGACTAGGACCGATGCCGGAACGCTGGGCGGCCCGCGGAGGGACTTGGCTACGAGATACTGTACTCCATACACATGCCGTGTTGATAGTAGCCGCGTTGGATGAAGGCTAAGGCGTTCCAGAAGGATGCCACATGAGATACACTGCAAACTTTGGCAACCTCACATGCCTCCCTCGCATGCATGGTTGCGTCGAGTCGTCGTGTTGTCTTGATAGGTATCTGCCCGTCGGTGGGAACCCCGGGCGTCTGCCAATGGGGAATAAGGTCTGATAGAAGCGTTCTCCTCCATGACTGCGGGGGATACGACGATACAAAGTGACCAAGACGGAAGATTCTATCCACGCTATCAATAGCTCGTGGGTCTCTAGATAGTAAAGCACCGAGAAAGAGGGCTGAGGGCTGTGTTGTTTGTTTCACGCCCAGAGAAAGTCTGATCAAGCTTGTCAATTACCTGCTGTCATACTTTATGCTCTGTGCTAGTCGATCAGCAATTACGGGCCTCCCGAATACAAAGCACCTTAGTCTGATGCAGCTTTTGGGGGTCCAAGTGGTTGTCGAATGATGGCTAATTTGTCGCCGAAATGCAGGTTTTCCCGCCATCCGAGGAATCTCAAACTCCGTGTCTCCGGGTTCATGGTGGCAGCACTATGGATCCCCAGGAGTTCCAATTGCTAACGGGGTTGATGCAATCGTCATCTCATGTGGTCTTTTCTTCTCCCCATGGGGAAGCGGAAGTCAACCCAACGTCTCGAGGCTTGAATCCCCATCATTGGCAACGTTAGTGCTGCACGCGTGACTAAGAGAAACTCATCGTGAAGTTTGACTTTGGGGAAGGACCATGCTCTGGACTGGAGTCTCGAGTCTCACGCCCTCCCTCATGTGCCGGGTCTTGTGGTGGCGCGGTGGCGTGTGCGAGACATGAGAGGAACTTGATTTCGAAGGGGGCAAGTCAACTCTCTGCCGTCGGGATGACCTCCCGACTTTGTCAAGATGGGGCGGGAGGTTTACCGGGTGAGCATCCGATGGTGTGAATTTGAAACGGAGGCTCCGCTCAAACAGGGGTGTACGCAGCGAAAGAATCCTTGCGCAAAGGAAGTTGACCGCGAGTCGTGCCGACGGCGCCTCCGCTTGTATGCGCTAGAGCGGGTAAGCGTTCGCGACGGCGCGACTTTGTACGGCAAAAGCGACTTTTTGTCTCTGGACAAGGGACGCAGAAGAATTGGCCCATTTTGTGTTACCACAACTGTCCACGGTTGCATTTGACTCTTTGCGGCGTTTTGTGGAAATCCAAATGTGCGGCCATGGGCCTGGACAACTCTTATCCGGCCTTTCCGTCTGATATCTCATCCCACAGGCGTACGGCGCGAGGTAGTGGAATGTTGGTTCCCTCAGCTGAAGATACACAAGATACCAGGTGAAAACATCGACTACAACAGCGCAAGCATTAATAATTAGGAGGAAGATATCGGGACGGCACCCGGTCATCCCATGTTGGTCGAGTTATCAACCCTAGTGAGGCATATTTTCCACGCCAACGCTTTTTTTGTGCAAACGCGTGCAGTAATATCGCGTACCGTGGTCTGTACCTAGGCAACTCACCGAGAAATGCCGCGCGAGTCATTTCTCTCCCCCTGAACCCTTGAGAAAAGAAATCGTCCCGCTGTGACGTAGGACCCCCCGTTGAAAAGGCAGTCTGGGGAAAATATGGGGTATGTTCTACCAAACCGGTGCGTAATCTAACTCAAGCGATAGCAGGCTATCTGGTACCTCTTGCAGGAGGAAGCCTGTCAGGCTGATAGAGAGGGAAATCTTGGCAGCCCTTGCCGGCTTTTCCTCCTGGCTGGGACTTCGAGGCTGTAGAGAAGGCCGCGCTTGGACTGGTTTTGTACAAAAGCGCAGCATTCCCAGTCCCAACTTGGGAATGGGTCTTCTCATCATGCCTCTAAGCTATCAATCTCTCTAGTGAGCTACCAGTTTCGCTTCAGTGTCAATGCATATTAAGATTTGCTTGGCCACTCATTCCTTGTCTTGAGCTGTCAACGACTACCACCAACGACAACAACTCTTGACTATTCAATTCGGTTGTCCTTCCAACTCGGACTCAGTACCTTAGTCAAAAAGATCATCTCGACGACAATTCCCACTTCGCGTGTGACCTGTGTCTCTAAAGACTTTAAAGTCACATTTGTCTGATCGACCGCATACGAACCAACATCACGTGAAAATATCTTCATCAACTGCCAAGATGACGCAGAAGAATAAGGAGGATGTCGAGGCGTTGGGACCCGTCTCAACCCATTCGCAACAAGGCCAGGTCTTGGAAGACCCGAACGCGTCTTACGATGCTGTCTTTGGTGAAATTAAAGAGGGCGGCCCCAACTACCGCAATGTAAGGAGCGATCCGGAAAATCTTTCGGCTTGGAAAGCCTAAACCTTCGGATACTAATTCCCTCAATTAGGTTGGCTGGAAAGGAACTGTTGCCCTGATGATGAAGACGCAAATCGGCCTGGGAGTCTTGTCTATTCCCGGTGTCTTTGACGTCCTCGGAATTGTGCCTGGTGTAATTGCTCTGTGCTGCATCGCCGCTATCACCACGTGGTCCGACTACATTGTTGGTGTCTTCAAGCTTCGCCACCCCGAGGTCTACGGTATCGACGATGTTGGCCGCCTTCTCTTTGGCCGCATTGGTCGCGAGTTCTTCGGCGTCGTTTTCTGCCTTTGTAAGTTGATCAATCGTTTGAAAGGCAACTCAGAGACTAACTGCTCTTTCCCGATCAGACTGGATCTTCGTCGCAGGCTCTGGCATGCTCGGTGCCTCGATCGCGCTCAACTCGGTTTCTCTTCACGGTGCATGCACAGCTGGCTTCGTCGCCATTGCCGCAGCGATTGGTTTCTGCTTCGGTAGCATCCAGACCCTCGGAAAGATTACCTGGTTCGCCTGGGTCGGTCTCATCTGCATCATGTCTGCCAGTGAGTGCCGCTAAACCTCTTTGGTTTAATATCCAGAATTGAGAAGCTGACCATGCATACACAGTCTTCACCGTCACTGTTGCTGTGGGTGTTCAGGACCGACCCGCAGCCGCTCCCCAGACTGGCCACTGGACCTCGGACTACAAGGTTGTCGGGAGCCCGACTTTTGCCCAGGCTTCCTCGGCGCTCTCGACTCTCGTCTTTGCCTTCGCCGGCACCCCAGCCTTCTTCTCCATCGTCTCTGAGATGCGCGACCCTCGCCACTACACCCGCGCTCTGGTCATCTGCCAGGGCGGCGTGACTGCCACCTACATTGCCATTGGATGCGTCGTTTACTACTTCTGCGGTTCGTACGTCGCCTCGCCTGCTCTTGGCTCCGCCGGTGCGACCATGAAGAGAGTCTGCTACGGTCTTGCCTTCCCCGGTCTGATTGTTACCACCACTTTGGTTATCCACGTAAGTAAATCACCGATTTACAGCCCAGGTATCACTTGTCAAGCATTGATACTAAAACTCGTGTCCTCAGTTGCCCGCCAAGTACATCTTCATTCGCCTGCTCCGTGGATCGCGTCACTTGACCGAAAACACCATGAAGCACTGGAGCATCTGGCTCGCCTGCACTGCAAGCATCGCCATTATCGCCTACATCATTGCAAGCTCCATTCCCGTTTTCGATGGCCTGGTATCTCTCGTCGGTGCCCTCTTCGGTACTCTCCTGTCTTTCCAGCCCATGGGCTGCATGTGGTTGTACGACCACTGGGCCGAGGGAAAGCTCGAGAAGAGACCCAGATGGATTGCCATGGTCTGCTTCAGCTGCTTCGTTGTTATTAGCGGCACCTTTTTGATGATTGCTGGAGCGTACGGCTCAGTTGTTGGAATCATGGACAGCTACAAGAAGTCTGGTGGATCAGCCGCATTTTCCTGCGCCGACAACTCGAATTCCGTGTCCTCGGCCCATTGAGCCTCATGTTCGCATGATCAAATGGGTTAGGCGAGGAAATTTGTCCGCGGGAGAACGATTCAGTTAGCTCCACGCGTTTTGAAATATACCCACTACGTTCTATTCCTGAATATTTTAGACCTTGACATGTCGTGGAATGCCTGCAAAATACCCCGGCTTGGCTGTGGCTTAAATGTGTGACTGTGCCCCTGTCCGACATTAAGACAGTAGAACGGTGAACCGAGTCTGTTGAAGAAGGCTGAAACACAATTTTTTTAATTTTTTTTGGGGAAGAAAGGAGGGCAAATGACTGATGCAGATCACCCAAATAACATGTACAAAAGTAGCCAAGATCTACGGGACATGAATCTTCTAACTGACATGCCACTTATCTCCAACCCTGAACCCTTCCGGGAATGGATCTGTGGGGTGCAAGATAACTTGCTTGAAAGCAGTTATCCAGGCAGTTCCCTTCACGACGGGAATAATAGCATCATAGTCCCCAACCTTTGCTTCACTCTTTACTGTTCCGATAAATTCGGTCCTAATCACGCTGCGGTGTCGGAACGATGCTCCGATCGCGAGCTGCCCTCTCTTGTGGAGAACCGCCAGTCGTGCGCATGTTCCCGTCCCACACGGACTCCGGTCGAGTCTTCCCGGTGATACCACCACCGTGTTGACGGCCGTCTGCTGCGTGTCCGGCGCGGAGGGCGAGAGCGGGTCCGTGAACTCGAAGACGCTGACACCTCGTATCTCTGGGTTTTCGGGATGCACAGGGCTCGTCTGCGTTTGGATGGCCCTCTTAATCCGCTCGCCAATTTCGACTAATTCCTTTCCGTTTTCCGTCTTGATCTGTAGGCCTACTGAGCTTGCGTCGACGAGCGCATACCACATTCCACCCCACGCAATGTCGGCCTTGACGGGAATGTCGAAGCCCGGCACATTGATGTCCAAATCTAGACCGTAGACAAAAGCCGGAACGTTTTGGAACTCCACAAAAGTAACCTTGCCGTCCTTACACTCGGCCTTGATCGTCACCAGGCCGGCTGGCGTGTCCAGACGCAATGTTGTGGTGGGCTCCTGCATCGGCACCATACCAGTCTCCAGCAGGACGGTGCTCACGGCGATTGTGTTGGCACCTGACATGGGAGGATACTCCTCGTGCTCCATTATGATGAAGCCCGCGTCGGCCTCGGGGTTGCACGGCGGGAGGACGAGGTTGACGCACATGGATGACGAGCCGCGAGGTTCGTTCATCAACAGATTTCGTAGGTGGTCTGCCTTTTTCCAGAAATGCATCATCTTTTCAAACATTGTCTTGCCTGGAACATCAAGGACGCCTCCGACGATAACGTCGCAGACCTCGCCGCCACAGTGGGCGCCGACGACATTGAAAGTACGGCCGAGAGTCATAGTGTAATGGTTCAAAGTCTGATAGATGAGGAGAAGAGGAGACTCACGATCTAAATATCCACGTATTCATCCTCAAACCTATGAGTACTACCTACCTAATAGGTATTAATAGTTTTAGAGGTCATAGACGTCTCATCCACAGACTCACAGAAATCAGATAGAGCGGTTTCTATGCCGAAGAGACGGAACGAAGGCTCGTGAACGGATTGGCAACCGGCTCGTATTGCACCTGAATTTTCGTATAAGCCGCTCGCATTCGGTACACTGGAGCCTACGACGGACCCCGATCGGCGGCTCAGCTAACCACCGCAGCCGCGACCCATTTCCCCGCATCGGATGCCGTGCCGGTGGGATTGGATCCGGTAGGTCTCGCCGAGTCTGGCGGCTGAACACAAACCAAACTGCCGTAATCTATCTAACGACGGAGCCTATCGATGCATCTACTCGCATTTGTCATCTTTTTCGACCCATCTGAATATCGCGGAGTCACAAGCTGCTGATAAGATTTTGTCATTGTCAATATACTAGTAGCATCTGTGCCTCTTTCGCTAGACTTCTCCGCATTACGAGAACCCCTCACGATCTTGACTGTTCAACGGCCTTTTGCAAACCTGAGCACGTTTCCTACCATTAACCATGGGCAATTTCAGAGTCCTCGGCGACGCCGCTGTTCTCAATATCCTACTCAACCTTCCAAAAGCTGGCATTCTCCAGCTCCGAGATCGGCTTGTGGGAGCGCTGATAGAGCTCTCCGAGGGTGCGGAGCGGGACTATCAGCCCGAGGCATCGATAGTGAATAGACCTGAGGGTACAAAATGCCTCTTCCGACCCTTCAGCTCCGCCGGTGCCTTCGGAACTAAGATCGTCGTTACCCCGGCACCCTCATCACCAGCAGCCAACAGCTTGCACGGCATCATCTCCATTTGCGACCAGGATGGCCTGCCCCAAGGTGTAATCAACGCGGAAGAGGTTACGGGATACCGCACGGCGCTCTCCGCCATCGTGCCTTATTTATGGCGGCGCCATACCGACAACATTGTTGTGTTCGGTGCTGGCAAGCAAGCGTTGTGGCATCTTCGCTTCGCGTTATCGTTGAGGGGCGACGAGATTAAGACTATTACCGTGGTAAATCGGTCCGCGGAGCGAGCACAGCAGCTCATCTCGAGATTGAAGGAGGAGAACCAATCCCGTTGGAAGTCTGCTGCCAACTTTGAGTACCTCGGTCCCTCTAGCTCCGAGTATGATGCTCAACTTCAGTATCGCCTTGCTGTAGCAGACGCCATTTTCTGTACGGTCGGTACTAAGAGCCGAGTCTTTCCGGCACACTATGTCACGAACGGGAGAAAGGAAAGAAATCCATACATTTCTGCCGTCGGGTCCTGGCAGGCAGACATGTTGGAAGTAGACCCAGAACTGCTGGTCCAGGCGACCAATGCCGCTGGTGGGAGACTGCGCGGGCAAGGTTCAAAGGTCGCCGTGCTGGTCGATGACCGCGAGTCTGCGCTCAAGCATTCTGGCGAAATCATTCAGAGCAAACTCGCGGCAGAGTATATAGTGGAGGTTGGAGAAATCGAGATTTCACGGAAACAAGGAGAAAAGTTGGAATCATTGTCGACATTGGAGGATGGGCTGATCATCTACAAGAGTATTGGTGTCAGTACCACGGATCTGGCTATTGGGACGGCTATTCTGGACATGGCGGAGAAGAAGGGGGTCGGCATTGTTATCTCGGAATTTTGATAAACCATTGGTAAGTTGTCAATCAAAGGACATAGAAACTTAAGTATTCGTACTTACCTAAGTGTGTCAAATCGAGTTGATTTGCGTCTCGAGGCAGCTTATCGTTGAAGAGCGCGAAAACCCCTAACTTGTACTTTTTTGTTCACAACTCGCTCGCATTTACTCTGATCTCATGTCACTGCAATATTATGAGTGCCCCGTGCTTGAAGTCAGTGACCGGGATATCAAGTTGCGCAACACTAATGCGGAGTAACACTCGCAGATGGTCACCCGTCTCAACCTCCCCCGCGCATATTTACGGTTGCTGCATGCATGAATGTTACAAAGCCAGACAGTGGATTGGTCCGCGCAAAAAAGTGGTATTGAAACAACCGTCCGATGACCCCAAACTTCTTGCGCTTAGGCAGAGCCCGTCCCCTTACTGGAAGCTGATTGACCGTTTAACGCAGAACAAAGTGGTGTGTTCATTGGGCAAGAAGCAAACATGTTTGCCGCCAGGGGGAGCTCGGAAAGGCTCGTACTCGGGATTGAGTTTACATAAACGACGCGTCAATGCCAACGCGGGGTTGATGTTTCTTATGGACGAAGGAAGACTATCACAAGACTTGAGCAGGCACCCCTTCTACACCTAGATTTGACTACCAAAATGGCAGGTGTTTTATCGATTCTCTCAGAGCATCCTTCTCATATACTGGCTATTGCCTTGGGGACAGTAAGTGACTAGATTTCCAAAAAAAGATTATAGATTTTCACTCCCGAAATGTAGAATCACATGGCTAACTTGTCAGGCCGTCCTCTGGCAATTCCTCCTAGCCGGCTACAATCTCTTCCTTCATCCCCTCCGAAGGTTTCCTGGGCCTCTTCTCCAACGCGCTTCGCCTCTAATCTGGGCCTGGCAACATGCCACAGGCCACCAGGCTTTTCGAACCCAGCTCCTCCACGATCGATACGGCCCGGTAGTCCGGATCAGTCCAAATCACCTGTCCTTCACGGACGTGACGGCCTGGAAAGACATCTACGGCTTTCAGATCGGCAAAGAGCTGGCCGAGAATGAGATCCCCAAGTCGCAACTCTTCTCCACGACGATCAAGAATTTGCCCACGAGCATCATCAATGCCGAGCGTGAAGAGCACCAGCGGTACCGGCGCGCGCTATCCCACGGCTTCTCGGATAGCTCTATGCGAGCACAAGAAGGGATTATCATGAAATACATTGATAAACTGATTTCTCGCTTGCATGAGAACTGCGACAGGAAAGAAGCGCCGATCAATGTGGAGGCTTGGTACAACTGGACAACGTTCGATATTGCCGGCGACCTAATCTTTGCGCAATCTTTTGGCTGTCTTGATCGCTCAGACTACCACCCCTGGATCGCCTTCATCTTCAAGACGATCCGATACAATGCCATCATGACAGCGATGAAGTACATCGGTCTCGATCCTATTGTCCAGGGACTCTTCAGGATCGGCGGTCTTGCTGCGATGATGCAGTTGCGTGAGAGCACTGACAAGATGATGCAAACGCGCCTAGATATGGATCCTGACCGTAAGGATCTGTTCGAGGGCCTGTTGAGGAAGAAAGAAGAATGGGCATGTAACACCCTCAAAGTCACCCTTCGACAGATGGAATTCACGCTAATCTCCTACTTACAGAACCTGTCGTTTGAACAGCTATCAGCCAATGGTCTCATTCTTGTCCTCGCAGGCTCTGAAACTACGGCTACAACTCTGGCCGGCACGACGTATCTCTTGCTGAGAAACCCAAAGATCTTGCAAAAGCTCAACGAGGAAGTCCGATCGAGCTTTACCGATTCTAGTGAGATCACCATCAACTCGGTGAGCAAGCTGTCATACATGCTCGCTATTCTCAACGAAGCTTTGCGGATGTATCCTCCAGTGACATCAAACCTCATTCGAGAGGTGCCGCAGTTTGGGTGTCAGATTGGCTCAGAGCATGTGCCTCAAGGAGTAAGTAGCCTCACGCACTACTTCTCCATCTTAGGTTACAATCAGGTGACTAACCTACACCGCTCTTCAAGACTTTTGTCGAAATTCAACAGTGGTCCGCGAATCATAGCACAGATAACTGGACTAAGCCCTGGGAATTCAGACCAGAGCGCTTCCTGGAAACCAACAAAGAGGAACACAACCATTTGGATGCACTTCAGGCATTCAGCGTTGGCCCGCGCAACTGCATCGGAAAAAAGTAAGAGCTCTTCATCTGTGTTCGTATTCACTGCCTCTGACCCAACTCCGTGATACAGCCTTGCGTATGCAGAGATGAGATTGATCTTGGCCCGCATTGTCTTTGATTTCGATCTTCAACTCGCCGAAGGAAACGGTTCCTGGATTCAGAGGCAGAGAGCATTTGGCCTGTGGGATAGAATTCCGCTGAATGTCTACATAAAACCAGTGGCTCGTCGAGCCCGCGCATGAATTCAAGATGGTACATCGATAAGCCAGGCTGAACCAAGTCAAAAAGTCTATCAGTGGATTCTGAGAGGTGATTCATAGGTAGTCCAAGAGCCCTAAAGGCCCTCGAAGTAAAGGCATAAACTCCGTGTTGGGTACTGTCTACCCTTGAGCCCAGCCGTCTTCAATGTCATTAAGTCATGGTCGAGTGCTTTAAATGCATAACCCCCTGTCCTCCAGTTCTGATCCACTCACAGACCAGCCAGACCTTCATTACAAAGCATGTTGTCCCGGCCCACCTCCACCCCAAAGACTGAAGTTGGGGCCATGCGTATCTCCAGGCATCCCGCCATCAAACGTCTCAAAGTCGGACGGACTCATGTCAGAGAACAACGCAGTATCTGGCGTCGGCGCCGGCCACTGCTCAACAGGCAAACCGCCGGGCTGTTTCTGCTTGAACACCTCGCTGCTCCGGAACCGCGCCACAACGAGCGGTGTGTCGCACGACATGCCCAGGTTCCGGAACGCAAGTTCCCGTCTAGCCCAACCTGCAAGCAAGTTCTCCGCGCGCAGCATATTGTCCTTCCTGCTCAAGTCGTACATCTCCGGGTGGTGGTGATAGAGCCGGTCGATTGCCTTCCATGCCCTGTCGACTAGTGTTCCCACGGGCTGCCACTGCAGGAGCTCAATCATGACGGAGAAGGCGTCGGATTGGAAGTGGAGCTTGAGGTACCAGGTGAACTTGTCGTCGATCGTGTCGTACCAGCTGACGTCGCTCTCAAAGGAGATGACCCAAGCTCTGAAGAAGGATTGCTGACTCGCTCCGCCGTCTTTGTTCTCGTCCCAGGGCTCTCGCGCGTGCATGATCATGTCGCGCATCCTTTGCGCCGTGAAAGACCGGATCTTACTCGCAACGAGGTGTATGCCGCCTGCCGTCGGATTGCAGAATCGTCGTTCCGCTGCAGCTAGTCTTTCGTCGTATTGGTTCAAGGCAAGACGATATCTGTCGAGTATATGTGGTTGACCGGAGAATTTCTTCGAGTTTTCTGGGCTGATTTTGTCCCCGCTTAGGATGACTGATTCGAACTCCGGCATGGGATTGTCACAAAAGAAGGCGCGTGATTCATAGAGCATGAGGCAGAATGCCATCTCGGTTGCTCCGTCGCGAGACTTGACCGGCTCTGCTGAGCCAGGCAGTAGGTCGGCGTCGTTGACGTTTGACGGGAGTTTTGCGTCCCAGTTGGGCGGGAGCAGCGTGTCGCCGAAGCCGGCGAGGACGGCGTATTTTGTTTCAAGCATGATGATTTGCCACCAGATTCGGCGGCGCATCTCGGTCTCGAAGGGTTGAAGACCTATAAGCTCTCCGTCACGATGAAGGCCCATTCTTTGAGCTATCCTGACTAGCATGCCGGTCAACACCCACGCGGCATGGCGATCGAATTGCCCCTGGAGAGAGACCTAGCCTGCAGTTAGATCAGAGCTCTGTGTGTGCGCGACAGGCTTCTTACCAGGTAGAGCACTAAGCACTGCAAAGTGGTCATGTTATACTTTCGTAAAAAGTCCACTCTGGACATCGCTTTCTTGAGTGCAGACATTGAATTCCGCAATGCTTTTGCCTTTTCAAGTTTGAGCATCTGAATTGACTCCGCTTCTGACAGAGCCATTATTGCAACAACGTTGATGGAGCAGAGTAGGGCTTCGAGGTCCGGGCTTAGGTTGAAACGGTCTGTTGCTGCTTCAAAGACGAGAGGTTCCAGGCTGGGAACGTGGATGACCTTGATCATGGGATTGACTCGTTCCAGAAATACTTGCCACAGGCGCAGAACTTCAACTGGACCTAGGGCTAATATGTCAAAGTCCATAGACTTTTGGTGAATTGAGTCGCCGCGTTCTGAGACGCTGGTAGAACCAGACGGGTTCGTTGGTTGCTCCGCATCATTGTCTTCAAGACTAAGCTTGGAGAATTGGAGCTGGCGTTTTACTTAGATCTCGACGGAGACTTAATGGTTCTTACCAGGGGATACTTACGTGGTCAAGAACATTCCCGCGAAACGGATTTTCCATAAACGTTGGTCGACCTTCATCGCAGACAATCTTGCCATTCGGTCTCGAGCTGGGTTGTTTCCGGGCCTCTTCGTAGCTTATGTGGGACATTGCCGGGCTGTCCGCCACATCGCGTGAGGAACCCGGCGTATCGGGATTTACGGGGCGTCCATCGGCATCGCGTGGAGCCACCTGGCTCAGAAGACTCTCACACTGATTCAATCTCTCTAACAGGTCCTTTACCACGCGTCTTCTACCAGCTCCTGGTGGTGCTCTCGTTGATGGCACGCACGGTTGATCAGACTATTGTGGTCACATTAGTGAGTATGCGTTGCGCCTCGGTGTGGGTGTGCGTAGACCTCGGGTCCATCGGGTGAAGGGTGAGTGAGATGATGACAAACCAACCTTTATGCAGTTGGCGCAGGGGGACTTTCGGTCACACTTGATTTTGCGCTGATGACAAAACACGCAGGCCAAGACGTTGCGCGGTTTGTCGCCTGCGGGAGTACTCGCCTGCGAAGCTGGGCTTTCGGATGCCATCAAGATCTACAGATGAGAATATAGGGCTCGTTAGAGATCAGAAGAGCGTGTGAGTTGTTGTCGTCGTTCATCGCATGATATGTTTCTTTTCCGAGCTCTGCTCTGTTGGCGGCAACACTCTTTTAAACGTGCCGCTTTCCTGCGGGAAAAACGACAGGGGCCACGGCATTTGGGGATCCACCAAACGGACTTTGGAGGGGACGCTAGGCTGCATTGGACCGTCCGAGACCCGGCTGATCCTTGCAGCGGACCGGAGCGAAGCCCGGGATCCCGGAGCTCGCTGCCACCGAAGACCAAGTCATCTCCCACCCACATACACACACCATCTTACCTGCTTTTCTATCCTGGAGGGGTGGTCCAGCGAACATTCGATTCTGTCCTTCATAAGCATTTCGTTATTATGGCTAGCAACGATTTCGACTGCCGGGCGTAGCAACTAAGGTGGCTGCTAGTATCCATTGGGTGGGCACGCATTATTATAGCTCCAAAAATAAGGTTATGTCATGCTGCATCCGACCTGATAAACGGACGGAAATTAAGAATTGGACCCCGTCCGCATCATCTCACTTGTCCATGCTCTGGACGGTCCCGCCATGCTGTTGTGGTAGCAGATCGTACTCCTGCGTCATACCCTGGTAAAACATAGGGTCCAGATCGGGCAGGAAATAATTAAAGATTCCCATCACGTCGGTTCCCATAAGCGCACTGGGAGATACCTGGCCCATCCCACTGTCGAACGCAAAGTCGGTGTATCCTGGTTGCTGCATCGGACCAGATATCATGGCCTCCCTCGGCATAGTCTTTCAACACAGATGATGATTAGACAAACTTCTATTTTCGAGAGATAGTAGACCTTGTGAGGCCGAAAACTTACGTCAGATAGATCCAGAGTCATCTGGGTTGGCCTGGCAACTTGTTTGTTGTTTCCGGCATCAAGCTCTGACGATTGCTGTACCATTTGCATCGCGGAAGGGTTCGTAGGTGCATGTGGTCTCGCGGGGTTCGTCAGGCCAACCTCGGCATGTTGAATCTCGTTGACATAGTCCCGCGCAATCTTGGCGAACTCGGCTATCAAAGAACCGGGTACGGTGCCACCGCTGGCATATTCGATCCGACTAAAGTGACCAGCAACCATGTCGAGCAGGGCCAGGTTGGTACCTGTATCTGGCTGCCGAGGATCATGAATCACTAGGTCAAATAAAACGAAAAGTGCTGTAATAGGGATTCCCGCAAGGACCCTCGACGGCTGTCAGCACCGATCTTATGATAACGGCGGGAACAGAAGTAGTTAGCTCCTTGCTCACCATGTGACCGTGTATGGCTCAACCTCAATCATCGTAGTCAACTCTAAAATGGCCCTTGATGCATTCAAAATAGTCTTCATCTTGTCGTCCTTTGTCGCCGTCACCGCCGGCGTCTCAGGGACAGGCAGGTAGCACAGCGTAGTTCTTGCGAGAGTCAGTAACATGCTGTAGTAAAGATAATGAAGAATGAGAGCCAGCGATCTCGCATTGGGACCGGATACGGTTTGAGGGCGTAGGATCCCACCCGGCCGGAAGCCATTGTCGGGCAGAGATGCTCTCCACTCCTCCAGTTCACCGTTCAACTGGTCAATCACGTCGAGGTAATACGAGTCGGAGTTACCCGACACGCCAACCGAGAAGAGTGATGTATATGCTCGAGAAAGGAGGCGAGCGAAGCGCACTAGATGCAGGAACCAGCTAAAGTCTCCCGATGTTGCCTCGGGGACGACAGGGATGGGACAGGATATGTCGCTATCGACGAATCCCTTGTTGGTGTTAGCAGTGCAGAGCAATGGACGAGAAGTGTGCATCCGTTGAAATATGACACTATCGTGGACAAGAGGTGGAAATTTGGGTACTTACGGAACTTCTCCCAAAGTGGAAGCTGGTGATTTTCTCAACCGCGTATAGAATCCAGAATGACTTCTGATAAGCGTGAGCCGTCGGACCAGTGAAGCTATGGCTAGACATCATCTGAGCCCGTCTTGCTGCCTCTGACATGATTACAGGCTCGACAGCCAAGCCTGAGATCCCTAAGCCATAGACAGACATGGCCGTCAATGCCTGCAAGGTGGTGAGAGAATCGGGAAGCAGCAGGAGCTCCGAGAAGCCACTCAAGCTGACAGAGAACAGCCGCCACGACTCGCCCTTGCCAGGCTCGAATGTCCCGCCATCAGCATACTGCGACCCTAAAGCAAGGACACTGTGGTAGAGACAACACCATGGCTTGCTGCGTTCGAGGAGATTGGGGAAGTTGGGACTTGACACTGTAGTCTCGAAAGTTGTGCGGTCAAGGAACGGGAACATGGGGTGCACTCGCTCAAAGTAAACTGACAAGACTTAGCTTCTACCACTTTCAATAGGGGTTGAAGAAGGGAAAATAGCAAGTAATTACGGCGGATGTACAAGGCGGCGCGCGCTCTGTCGGTACCCATGTCAGGAGGTTGCGTTCTCCGGGGATTCGTCGCTGTTGAGTCGGTGCGACGAAGCCGTCCATTGACAATGACGGAAATTCGGCCAACGAGCTCGTTCACCTTTTGATTCTGAAGGCGCGTCGACAGGGACAATAGCCTGTTGTCGGAGAAGAACGTGAGGCTGTTCCGGCCCCCTTGATCTGTTAGTACATGCAGGCCACTGAGGGCATGTGGCGCTTCAATACCAAAAATGCCATTGCGCTGTGGATTGGATATCTGTCAATTTACAGCTCATTCACATCTGAAAACAATCTCGAAATATTGGCTGGCGATGCTTACAGGTACAAACATGGTTTCCTCCTGGCCTCTTCCAGTAGAGGTCTTTGGCCTCTGTGCTCGTGCCAGGACGCGATCGACGTGGAGTTCTTGGATGCGGTGGGGAGGAGACTTTGGTGACGTGCGATCAGAGAGAACTAGTGGCTTGGTCTCTCCATCTGATGTCGAGAGGTCCAGCACGGCTTTGGCATCTGGGAGACTGGGTGGTCGATTGCTCGATGGCGAATAATTCGTTGGCAGAAGCTGACCGGCAACTGATGGTTGAATTAGTAGTTGAAAATCTTTTGCCATAGAAAACCGTTCGGAGTCGTTATGTTTGCTCTTCAAAAAGAGTGTAATCGTTGTACGGTGGATGTTTAGTTGCCAGTGCTTACCGTTACGCCTGTGGGCTAGCCTTTTTACACTGAAGCGACACTCTTCTTTTCGACGCTGTCAGGTTCAAAGATTGTGAGTAAACGGGCATATCTTGTCAGGGAAGGGAATCCAGTCAGTTTCACTCACGATACAATTCGCGCAAGGTCCAGGCGGACCATTACCTATTGACAAAATCAATTCGTCAGTTCGTGATCGAGGAAGAGAGGAATGGCAATGAGCTCTCCCGAGTCACGTACTAGGACAGCGGACCTTGCGTGACTTGCAAGCATCGCAGGACTTGTGGGTTCGGGATCCAGCACCAACACCAGTAGGACTGGGCGCGGGCTTATCAGCAGTCATCTTCTCGGCTCGCAGAGGATGGGATGAGATTGCAGGCTGAGGGACAAAACAACACCGAGAAACGAAGACGAGTAGGTCGGAGACGAGGTCTGTAAGTATGCGAGGATGTGCTTCGCAAGGGGACGGGGGGACCAAGACAATTCAGCTCATGTTGAAAGGAGCTCGGCTCCTTTTTTGCCTTTTAGGAGAGTGGAGATTTGGAGAAGTTCGACCGCCCTATGGGTGTATAGCCTCGGCCCCGAGATTCCGGATTGGGTAACTTTACACACACATCGGACCACTTCACAACGCCGCCATCCCGGGATCTGCGATCAGGATCTTTGCGGCGCGTGTGGGTGCTCTCTCGTCAATATCTTCAACATATCTTGCGCTGGCTTACCCTCCTCGGCGCCGACTTGATTGATACGGCTGCTCTACATCAGCAAAGCCGCACAATATGCAGCCAAAACATGGAAATTGGACCACCAAGCTCGGCTCGCGAGCTGTTAGCTTCGGTCACGCACCGTGAAGCTAGTGATCTGGACCCTGCTTTTCGGGTTCTCCCTGACCATGTCGACCGGTTGATAGTTGGTATTGACGTTGAACATGCGTAGCTGTACTATAGTTTTCACATGTTTGCCTTGTGCTGACCATGAAAACTTATTTGAGGTGGACGCCTCTTTTGGGAAGCTTGTCAAGATATAACTTGCCCGTGATCCCGTTGGGTGACATTGCTTGAGCCTCTTCTTTTTCTGCGATCTTCAAGTTCCTTCTCATCTGCACGCTGCGCAGTCATCAAATCATATCACAAGATGCATCGCCCGCAGGGTGATAGCGGCAACGTCATGTCCAAGCCGTCGGATGACACCTTGCACGCCAAAGCCATTCAGGAACATGACCACCAACGGAATGACATGGACATTGAAGCGAACGATACGCACGTCAACGAGATCGTCAGACCTTACAGTCTCGATCTCATCCGTTCAGCATCAAGACTCGACCCTAGAATCAATCCATTCCTATCCGACCACCCTGCCCTGGACCCAAACTGTCGCGAAGAGTTTAACGCCAAGAAATGGGCCCGAGCCCTTCTGCAGCACTCATATCACCAGCCCGAGGACTACCCAAGACTCGAAGCTGGAGTTGCGTATCGCAACCTGAGTGTTCATGGGTACGGCACCGACACGGACTACCAGAAGGATGTTCTTAACGTCCTCTGGCAAGCACCAATGATGATAAAGCAGGCTCTCAGCAACCGTCGCCAGAAAATTGACATCTTGAGAGAGTTTGACGGAATCATCAAGAGTGGCGAGATGCTCTTGGTGCTAGGCCGTCCCGGCAGTGGTGTTTCTACCTTACTTAAGACGATCGCTGGTGAGACCCAGGGTCTTCATCTGGGGGATCACTCACACTTCAGTTACCAGGGTCAGTGCCTACGCCTTCTAAACTCTGTCAGGGGTATTATTTACTAGGTTCTCACACAAAAGCTGACTACATACACCATAATCAGGCATACCAATGGAAACAATGCACAAACGATTCCGCGGCGAAGTCATCTACCAGGCCGAAACTGACATCCACTTCCCCCACCTCACGGTTGGGCAGACACTTCTTTTCGCCTCACTGGCAAGGACGCCAAAGAACCGACTGCCTGGCGTGAGCAGACAGAGATATGCGGAGCACTTGCGTGACGTCGTGATGGCAGTTTTTGGTATTTCCCACACTATCAACACAAAGGTCGGAAACGACTTCGTCCGTGGTGAGTTGCCCAAGCCGTTGACAGCTTTGAGGCAACCTTCACTAACTCTCCACAGGTGTCAGCGGAGGCGAGCGCAAGCGCGTCAGTATTGCGGAGGTCACGCTCAGCCAGAGTCCTATTCAGTGCTGGGACAACAGCACTCGCGGGTTGGACAGTGCTACTGCGTTAGAGTTTGCTCGTACTCTGCGGTTGTCTACTGACATGGCCAAGACTTCGGCCATTGTCGCGATGTATCAGGCCTCGCAGCCAGCATATGATGTCAGTTTCTCCGCAATAAACCTGTTGTATATCATTGTTAACTGAGGTGCACATGTCTAGGTATTCGATAAGGTCGCGGTCCTCTACGAAGGTAGACAGATCTACTTTGGCTCCACGACGCTGGCAAAGAAATACTTCGTCGACATGGGCTACCGCTGCCCCGACCGCCAAACCACCGCTGACTTCCTCACTTCCCTCACGAATCCCGCAGAACGAGTGGTGCGAGAAGGATTCGAAAATAGAGTTCCAAGAACGCCAGACGAATTTGCGACCGTATGGAAGGGAAGTGATGTCAGGGCACGTCTGATGGAAGAGATATTTGCCTTTGAGGAGGAGCATCCCCTCGATGGCTCGGGGGTTGACAAGTTTGTCGCCACGCGCCAAGCTCACAAAGCATCTCTTGTGTAAGTGTTTATGGAGGCAGGAGATCGTGGCATAGTTACCTGCTAACAGTCGAGCAGGACTCCGCAATCACCTTACACCATCTCCATGCCCATGCAAATCTGGCTCTGCATGACGCGTGGGTACCAGCGTCTCTTGGGTGACTGGTTGTTCTTTGTTGTCACTGTTGGTGGTAACTTGGTCATCTCTTTGGTTCTTGGAAGTATCTTCTTCGACCTGCCCTCTGATGCATCGAGTATGAACTCTCGTTGCATTCTGTTGTTCTTTGCGATTTTGTTCAACGGACTCAGCAGTGCTCTTGAGGTATGTTTTGGAGTCTTCTTCAGATAGCCCCACGACGAGAGGATTTGGCTAATATGGCGATAAACAGATCCTCACGCTATACGTTCAGCGACCCATTGTCGAAAAGCACGCTCGCTATGCTTTGTACCACCCCGCCTCAGAAGCCATCTCCTCCACGATCTGCGATCTTCCCAGCAAGATTCTATCCACCTTGGCCTTCAACATCCCCCTCTACTTCATGGCAAAGCTCCGCCAAGAAGCCGATGCCTTTTTCATCTTCCTCCTCTTCGGCTTCACCACCACGCTTTCAATGTCCATGATCATCAGAACCATCGGCCAGACGTCCCGTACCATCCACCAAGCCTTGACGCCAGCCGCGATCTTCATCTTGTCGCTCGTCATCTACACCGGCTTCATCCTCCCGACCCGTGACATGAAAGGCTGGCTCCGCTGGATCAACTACATCAACCCCATCGCATACGCATTCGAAAGTCTCGTCGCCAACGAATTCAATGGTCGGCAGTTTCCCTGTCCTTCATTTGTTCCGGCCTACCCGACTGCGGCGCCCAATGAGAGAACGTGCTCGGTTGCTGGTGCTGCACCAGGCGCAGACTTCGTTGACGGTGACTTCTACATGAATGCCACTTTCAGCTACTACAAGTCTCACATTTGGAGGTATGTTCTAGCTCTTGTGGAAGGCTTTTCACAAATAATTCTAATGTGTCACTCAGGAACTTCGGTATTCTGATTGCCTTCATCGTCTCCTTCATGTGTGTTTACTTGCTCGCGGCCGAGTACATCACCACAGACCGCTCCAAGGGTGAGGTGTTGATTTTCCGGCGCGGTCACTCGGCCCCGAAACTATCAAAGAACTCATCCGATGAAGAGACCGGCCAATCTGAACGTGTTCATCAACATGAAAAGTCAGAAGGACATATTGCGGGCTCCGGTGTCAAGCAAGCCGTGATCCACAAGAGCCAATCAGTATTCCACTGGAAAGATGTTTGCTACGACATTTCTATCAAGGGTAATAACCGCAGAATTCTCGACAAAGCTAGCGGATGGGTGAAGCCAGGAACTTTGACTGCTTTAATGGTAAGTACGTCCCCGTTCTAGATGCGGCACGCACTGACGAACAGCCTAGGGCTCTACTGGCGCTGGCAAGACTACTCTTCTTGATGTCCTGGCGAATAGAGTGACAATGGGTGTTGTGACTGGAGATATCCTGGTCAACGGCATTCCCAGAGACCAGTCTTTCCAGCGAAAGGCCGGTTACGTCCAGCAACAAGACATCCACCTCGAGACATCCACTGTTAGGGAAGCTTTGCGATTCAGCGCCATGCTACGTCAGCCAGCTTCAGTTAGCAAGCAAGAGAAGTGCGACTATGTTGAAGAGGTAATTGGACTTCTGGAGATGGAGGCATACGCCGATGCCATTGTTGGAGTGCCCGGAGAAGGTAAGTGTTCAACTACCTTAGTCTTTGCACCTTGTCCTCAAGGAGTTTTAAGCTAATTCGTGCTCTCACAGGCCTAAATGTTGAGCAGCGAAAACGACTGACCATTGGCGTCGAGCTCGCTGCGAGGCCTGATCTCCTCCTCTTCCTTGACGAACCGACCTCAGGCCTCGACAGCCAGACAGCATGGTCAATCTCATCACTCATCCGAAAGCTCTCCGAAAACGGCCAAGCCATCCTTGTGACAATCCATCAACCCTCCGCTCTTCTATTCCAGCAATTTGACCGTCTCCTCCTTCTCGCACATGGCGGTAAAACGGTCTACTTTGGCGATATTGGCGAGAACTCCCGCGTTCTCACGAGCTACTTTGAGCAGTACGGAGCAACGCCTTGCGGACAGGACGAGAACCCTGCCGAATGGATGCTCAAAGTCATCGGCGCTGCGCCGGGCGCCAAGGCTGAGAGGGATTGGCCCGAGACATGGAAGGAGAGCCATGAGTGTGCCGAGATGCGCCGCGAGCTTGAGCGCCTGGAGCAGGGCGTGGCGGCCAATGGCTCGACATCGAGTCCCGATGAGATGTCTACTTATGCTGCACTGTTTCATGTCCAGCTTGCCTTGTGCACTGAGCGCGTCTTCCAACAGTATTGGCGCACACCTTCGTATATTTACTCCAAGTTAATCTTGTCTGGTGGCACGGTAAGTTTCAATGCTTATTGGTAGACGACTTCATGAATCTTCAACTAACACTTCGCACAGAGCTTGTTCATCGGCGTGTCTTTCTACAACTCACCACTC